AGTGGGTTGACTGGGTGGCGCTATGTCCATGTCCATGTGTGAGAATTCATTTAGTTGGTGTGTGAGGTGTGTTTGGGGCGTGTAGACATGGCTGATAGGTTCTGGTAGCCCAGGTTCTGCTGTTTAATGTGATGTGCAGCATCACTATAGTCTGTCATGATGAGTGCTTTGTTTACACCAGTTCTTTGTGTGACGTTAACGAGATGTTAAAGAGCTCTTTGAATGATCACAGCAGCAGATGATGTCTTTAAGGTTAGAGGCTTCAAAACAGCGAGAATTCAGATCTGTCCAAAACTTTTGGCATATTTCACACTCAAGGTACAAAAGATATCAATGTCTATACATCTGCCAATATGAAAATCAGTACATTTCAGGAAAATGTTGAGAAGTACTACTGCAGCCTTGTCTGGGCTGAGCCAGAAGCCCGGCTCTTCTCCAGTTTGGGTTTTCAGTGAAACAACTGGCTCTTACTACAGTTTTACTCTTTCTTAGAAAGTTTGGGAAGAATGTTTATTTTCATTCCTAATATCTGGGATTCAGTTCCACCAGCATCAATAAAGCTGGTCTTACGTTACTCTCAGCACACGTTTTGGTGTTTTTAGCGTCGCTTCGTGATGTCATGACGTGGCGACTCCGCCCACCACACACCTGTACGTCACTGCAGCAGGTGACCAGTTCATCGACAGGAAGTCAGCAGAAACAACTCCTGAACATCCTGAGTCAAGTTCAAGGTGAGGAGCACAGATGCCAGATAATAGGACAGGTTACCATTAAAACTTCAGCACGCCAGTGTTCAGCTGAAGCTCTCCTGTTTCGGTACGCTGCATGTTTATTCACTGTTCTCGCTTACAAATAAGTTCCCGATAAGATCTACTCAGTCATGCTTTAATAAGGCTTGACTATCTCGCTTTCGCTTGAAGCTGGGACCACAGTCTCACTGCCTGTTATTGTCCTCAGTGTTGTGAATTAACTGATATTCTTCTAATAATAAATCAGAAGTCCAGAGTCCAGACACATACTACTATTCATTCATCAGCTGAATGAACACACTAGAATTTCTATTTATTGCCAGCTTTCAACTTGTTGGCTCTCCAGACTGCCTTTCAGCAAACACTCCTCCTGCCAATTAGAAGTCGTTTTGCCAATTAGCGCCATAAGGAACGGCTCTGCGGAGTCACAGCAGACAGATGACCAAAATAACACTTTCTCTTTCCAGCAGAAGCGGAAAAAAAGAAAAAAGGATGAACATAATTTTAACATTTCGCCCCATGGAGATCTGTTTTCTTCTTTTTTTTTTTTTTGGCAGAGAAGGCAACAGCCTGTGAGTGACACAAAGACGCCCAAGATCTGTGTTTGAAGTAAAGTGGTTTCTGATTTCTGCTGTTACAGGCGAACGTCACTGCAGGGAACCAACCAGACACATCCTCCCATACAGAGCAGCAGTTCCCTGAAGCAGGAGTCTGTAATACGAGTCACAGCAGCACAGTTGTACCTTCTTCAATTAAATTACCACCAACAAGTAAAAACGTCTTTTCCTGCCCACATTGTTTATGGGGAAGAAAAAGAAAGTGCAGATGTTCTTGTAACGCACAGTGATAAGAACAGGAAGAGATCATCTGGTGCACGAATGGAAAGTCAGGACTTAGCAGTGAAAGTGTTTTTCTACCAAATCATCTCCAGGAGAGCCAGTGATGGAGCAGCACGCCTCGTCAGCCTGGATGACTTCCTGTTATCACAGTGAGCACACCTCATGTCTCCACACATGCATACAGCCAAGGGTTCTCTGAATGATCTCACAATAACATATAAATCACTACCTCACGTGATCCATTGAGTTTTTAAAATGAGAAGCAGCTCCTTCATTTACTCAGCCTGACGGGAACATCTTCAGAAGACATCTTTTCTGGACTCAACAGCCTGGTTTACGGCAGAGACTCATCCTGTACGCCCTAACCTGTTGCTATGCTGCCCTCTGCTGGCCATGTCGTGACACTGACATGTCCCAAACCCCCGGTACGTGGCCTGTTCACACGGCAGAGTTCACAACCATTCCTCCCACTTTAAACAGGGTCAGGCTTAGGAAGAGCACACTTTACATTTTCCAGCAGGATCACAAATAGTTTAACACACTGCTGCCCATAAAGTTGGAATAAAATATTTTTTACCTCTTCTCATGGAATGATTGTGAGAGTGTGATTTATTCTTGATAAAGTGTGTATCTTCTCAAAACTTTATTGATATCATGATATACATACAACACATGTCACAGTCAATGTAAACCACATTTAACTTTTGCAGACTGTGTGTTCAGGCTTAAGCTAAACTGGGGGGACTGACCATCAGGATTAAGGGTTTGTTTCAGTTTTCAACCTTGGCCATAGAACAGGAAACACATCTGAGGGGATTTAATGCATCAGAATGTCCATTATCACTCTTTAAATGTCTCTCAGTCACTAATACTGAGTCTGGCCCCCCTTCGTGGATCAATGGGTTCAGACATGGTGGCGTTCTGTCCACCAGCTGCTTGGTGGAGTCAGTGGGCAGGACGTCCCACTCTTCAGCCACATCCTGAAGTCAGAGCTGGTCTTGAGCAAAGCTCAGGTGGACCTGTGCCTTTTAAACGTTGACTCTGACATAATCAGGTGGAGCAGCTGAACTAGTTCCCACAGACAGACTCTCTGTCCCATCAGCAGCTCCCAGACATCAGGAGATGTGATTCAGTTTCTTTAAATTCCTAAATTCCTTCCTTTCTTTTTCTGTGTCAGAACCCGTCCATCCAGCTGCCGTGGTGCTGAAACTCTGTGACCTGGATCTATGAGCATCACAGTCAGCAGTAACCTACTAAACCCATTTATCAGACTGAGGCTATGTGTGGAACCTTCACGGCTACAGAACCGTTGTGTTTACACTGGTTACGGCATGTCACGTGACAGTTACCCACCCACAGGTCAAGGTTTGGCTCACCTTGATATTTTGCAGCGACATCATCGTCCCAGTGCGGAAATAAACGTCCACTGATGCGTCCGGCTGGTGTCGGGTTTTACGCATGGCGTCCGCCAAACGGGCCGGAGGCCCACGATGGGCCACCTCTTAACAACCTGCTATTTAAAGGTGGGAATGCTGAGACACCCCGCCCCCTCCCTGCACACCTGCTCCTGTCCGTCTGGCGCCTTGTCACCGCCCGGCCGGTCCTGCTCTTCCTCCGTTGTGTCCGTCTCCACTGCGGTCCAGCTCCAGTGCCACACCGTGCGCTCTGCCTCTGACGGGCTGCTCTGAGATTAAATACCCCAAACCTTGTCCTGGTGGATTTAACCCGCGTGTTCGGCCAGCCCACCCTCGACAGTGAACTTTTTTCACCTGGTGCCCTGGTACCGATGGCGGAGGGTGTGCGCCCCGAGGACTACTGCGACGAGCCAGTGGAGGACGAATTTGGAGAGATCATCAAGTGTCGATCTGGTAGGAGCTGTGTGTGTGTGTGTGTGTGTGTGTGTGTGTCGCTGTTATTAATTGGAGTCAGCTGGAAACGCCTGAGTGTGGAGTACCAGAGACCCCAGTGCCCACCAGGACTCCCACATCCTGCCCAGGATGTTTACTGACAGCAGCAGGTCAACGTGACAGCTCCTCAGAATTCATCTCAAACATTTTATGTGTCACACAAGCAAGATGTTGTTCCAATAATTAGTTAAGACGGTTTTCTTATTTGTGCTCACCACCTCCTGAAGGCTCCGTCCCTCTGGTACCTGGTCTGGATGTGGTGGAAGTTAGTGGTCTGTACTTGACTGATGAAACAGGAAGTGATTACAGCTGCTTAAAGGAGGTGACTGAACCCAGTGGACCCAGACAAGTCTGTGTGACTCCACATTGTTTGATCCTTATGAGATGTGTTTTTGTTGTGTTTGGGTGTGTTGTGTTTTCCAAAGGCACATGAGCATCTGCTAAACAGGGTTCATGTGAGTCTGTCGACTTCCTCATACGATGGTGGCGGCTGTGCAGGCCTGGGCCAGTGTGCAGGCCTGGTGGTCGTGAATGCACAAACTATGGAGACACTGAAGCGTTGTGCCTGTATGGAAGGTGGCCCTCCATGGGCTCCAAGCAGACTGAAAGTCGTATAATAAGAACACTGACTCATCCGTGGTGTTACATGTCCACATGCCGGTGTGATCCTGTCTGCCTGCTAAACCACCAAATCCAGACTGTGTTGTTTACACACAGAGACACAGAAGCTGTTCAGGGCTCTGGTGCTGAAACGATCCATTTGATTGGTTGTTTGAAAACTGGTTCATCAGTGAAGTCATTTTATGGTTAAACAAAACAAAACAACTGCTTACACGGTAAAGTGATATGATTGTAAAATAGAAACTGATTAAAGCATTGCACTTGATGACTTTATAAGTTTTGCAGGAAGCCGACACCACAGCTGGAATGATGCTTTCACACTCGTTTTCTCTCACCTGGACGTTCACAGGCAGAGGTTACACCTGAAAGAACAAGAATCAAATGATGAACACAAGAATGAGACTGAAGGTGGAATGACTGAATTCAACCCTCACATCACGAGTTAAACAGCTTCATTTAGTTAGATATTAGATTTTTGTGGGTAGCATAAAGAGACCACATTGATTTTGTTACACATGAAGACAGCTACGTTAAACTCTGAATCCTAAAGAAGAGCAGCGTAGCGGCTCAGTGACATCGATGAACCGGTTCGTTACACATCCACACAGGCTGATTTCTTTTGCAGCTTTCTGAACTGCGGTTGCTGCAGCAGCTGTGCAGCTTTTCGTCTGTATGTTTTAACTCCTTACATCTGGTTTAGGGCTGTAGTTTGTTCTTTTTGTGTTGGCTGTTGCTAGAACTGCTCGTTTCATGTGAATGTGCTCATAAATAGATCTGAAGCCCCTGGTTGATATCCAACTTTGTGTGATGCTCGGTAAGTTGTGGTAAAGCCTGATAATGAGAAGACACAGTGGGATGTTGAACGACTGGCCTCTGGCTCTACTTTAAAATGTGTTTCTCATTCACGGATTCACTCACATGCTTAAACATTCACGCACCAATAACGGCAGAGCTGTCATGCAAGGCGCTCGTCTGCCATCGGGAACAGCTTGGTCTTCATTGTCTTGCCCAGGTACACCTCGGCATGTGGAGGAGGAGGCAGGGGTCCGAACTCGCTCTGCCACCTCACACATGGCCCACCCATGATACAAAAATGATTTAAATGTTTGCTCGTTGTCTCCCCATCAGTCCACCACCCTGAGGTGAAATAGTTTAGCCCAGGCGCCACACTGCTGCTTTTAGCATCACTTCAGGCACTCGTTTATTTCCAGCTCAGCATGCTGTGTATCCACACCCAGAGCTAAAACAGTTCTGGGTGTTGTCCGTGTGAATCCCTCGCACCACCGCGCTGGAGGCTGCACAGGTTGTATTTCCTGTTGTAGCTCCTGTAAATACTGGATGACCTGGAATGGTCGGCTGAGTGGTGAGACAGGCCAGCTGACAGGTGATGGTGCGGTCAAGGTTGATGTGGAGCAGGTAATCTCCCTCCACCGCCTCCTCAGGTGCTGACTTTTCTCTTGTCTGTCTGCCTCTCAGCTGTCTCTCTGTGTAAATAACTTTGTCCTGAGGTCATGTGCCTTCTTAAGTAAAGCTTCAATAAATAAATAAAGCTCCACTCTCTCTCTCCCCCCCATGGTACAGCTGGTGGGTCATCTCATGCTAGAAATAGCGCTCAGCTGGCCTGATGGACGGCTGCTGCAGTGTCAGATAGCCTAGTTTGGGAGGCTGCCATGCCCCCAGCCCACCCCACTCTCTCTGTTCTCCTTCTTCCTCTTTGCCCCTCTTTTTGTTTCTGGCTTTCCGTTCCCCTCTTTGCTTGCTTATGGTTTTGATGCACTCTGTTCATTTACAGCTCAGCCTTCCTGTTTACCTTCATTCACTCATTCTCTCTACTTCTTTGTAGAAACTTGAGCGTCCTCCTCTTTTCTTCTTTCCCCCCTTCTGTCTCTCCCTGTGTCATTTTTTACCACCCAAGTTGTGCTTCACTATATGGCTGGACTGTCTGTCAGTGGCTATATCTAGAAGTCTGTCTCTGTGCAGTAGTGCTCACTGCAAATACCTCCAGACCTCTGTACCTCCACATCTCCATACCTCCGTACTTCCATACATCTATACCTCCACACCAAACCCTGACATAGATTGGAATGTATTCAGAGCTCCTAAATTAAATCAGATGAATGAAAAGCTGAGAATGATTAGATTTCATTTTGTTTTACGGATCTGTAGCTCCTAATAAATTCCTTATTTCCTATCAAATCCCTTGAAAATCTGTAGTTAATTTGGCACTAATTATAGGTAAAATGGAGTGTTTAATTAACCTGTTCAGCCCTGAGCTATTTTTCAGGCCTCTGCTCGAAAATTACATAATAACCAGAGTTTATCTGCAACCACAAGGTCTGTTTGAATGATTCTTGTGTCATAATCAAAGGAACACTAGTAAGATGTGTTCAGGTGTGTAAATATCAGTTTATATGTTCCTGGTTCACAGTAAATGCAGACGGCACACAGCACAGAGGAAACATGTTCAGGATGATGATGATGTTTGTACTGATCCAGCTGCAGCTCTGAACCTCTCCCAGATCACAGACAACATGTGAACATTGTGACTCTGATCAAGTGAAGCAGAACATTGGAGAGTTTTTAGTCCAGACAGGTTTGGGTTTGTGCTGTTCTTTGGGTTGTTTCTCGCTGATGCTTTGATCTCAGAGAGCTTTGATGGACATGTCTGGACTCTGTGGACTGTCTGCTTTGGTCTGAGGCCTGTTGGAGCGTTTAGCATAAAGCAGCAAAGCGCTGGAGCCAGAAATGTGGCGAGTGGGTTGACTGGGTGGCGCTATGTCCATGTCCATGTGTGAGAATTCATGTAGTTGGTGTGTGAGGTGTGTTTGGGGCGTGTAGACATGGCTGATATGTTCTGGTATAAATCAACCAGAAACAGAACCGTCTACCTCGGACCAAAATGGTTAAATGGCTCTTCAACCAGCGAGACACTGAACTGACAGTGGAACAGCTCTACTTTGTTCCTGTCGCGTTGAATTAAGTTTAGCGACATGATAAAAAAATGAAACAATGCTGTCGAAGAGTTTTCAAGGCAGACTGGGGGATGTGGGAAAATAGGATTTGTTGTTGGCAGAACCTTTGATATCATAGGAACAGACCTGATAGGAATTAAACTTTAGAAGTTACAGCAAATGCTGAAAACTTGAGGGGAGACTGAACACAGAACAGTTACAGCTGAGGTAAATTTATATGAGATCCACTGATAAATAGTTTTATCAAGTAGGAACATTCTGTAAAATCTTTTGGGGAAAAGAAAGCGTGATGAAATCAGATGGCGGTACAGATAGTTACTGTACGAGTACATACATACATACAATGCAGTGGACTCAATCGGGAAGCCGCAGCATACGAACAGCCTGCAGGTTTTACCAAATCCCAGGATCAGGTGTAAAGATCAGCTGAACTTCAAAACGTTCTCCGCCTCACCAGAAACAAGGAGCATAACTCCCATTCTGCAGCACAAATACACACCATCACGCCTCTGTTCATTTCTTTGAAGGAGAGGAACGCTTCGAGCTGGCATGCTGCTGCTGCTCCAGGACAATGCGCCCGTCTGCACAGCTCAGGTGAGTCACAGCTCAGGTGAGTCACAGCTCAGGTGAGTCAGGTGGAGCAGCGCTTCATCATCACCCTGCCACCTGTGCTGTGTGGACGGGTACACTGTCCTCTAGCTCAAAGCTTTCTCCTTCTTTTTTCTTTGATTGCCTCCATCATTTGAGTTTTTGTGGACAATCATTTAAGGCTTTATGGTGCAGAGTTATGCCTTAAAATAGGGTCACACCTGTGTGCTTCCAGGTGAGACTGAGAACTTTATAAAGTACCCGAGTGTGACTAGACAATGTATGTGTGTATATGAGAAATGTAAAGGCTACATAGAAATAGAGTACCATCAGCTAAACCAGACTTAACGTGAAGGAAACCAGAAGTAAAACAACAAGTCGCCCGAGTGCAGACAAAGAGCTCAGGCAGGAATCAGAGTGAAAATGTTGACTTACACCGTGCAGAGACAGATGATGTGAACAGGGACGAACGGACTCAAACTGAACTGTAGAATTAGGAAGGGGAGGATAAAGTTAATCTTGAATACCAGATGTAACGAGATTCAAAACTACAACCTCAGTGGTGACTTATTGCACAAACAGACCACCAACCATACCAGCACAGCTCGACGAAGGGCTGAGCAGGAACAGGGACTGCTCTAATGCTGATGCTACAAGACTGACAGTGAGAACAGTGATAAACAGGAGCATAGACGTCAAAGACTGATTTTTACGTTGGACTAATCTCCTGGTGTATGTAGTGAACATATTGGCAGATGATCAACCACAACAGAATAAAAA